ACTCGATTTGTGGGATTGACAAGACTAAGGGACCTAACAGTTTTCTCAATTAGAGTTTTACCAATATCACCATATTGCCACCATCACCACCACCACCACCGTTTTTTTCGCCACCACATCCACTTCCACCGCTACGACACTACCACCACCACATTCACCCCATCTTTACCACCACCACATTCACCCCATCTTTACCACCACCACCACCACTACCGCTGCTGCTGCAGCCACCAAGGTTGTTAAAATCGGAATCCTACGTTACATCATTGGAGGTGTTTATGAGATCGGATCGAGAATGTAGGATCTTACCAAAAAAGACAAATTACATAATAATTTAATTTAAATAAATATTTGTTAAAAAATGTACACAAAATAAACTTATATTTTATTAAAAAGATGTGAAGATATTGTGAAAAATATAATATTTCATGTAAAATGTAAATATAATATATACAATAGAAAACTCGGTAGTAAAAGTTTTGTATTTCATCAAAAGAGAAGGTGAAAAAGAAGAATTCTATAATATAATACTTTGCAATCTACAATATTGCATAAAAAATGAAATATATATATATATATATATATTTAACAAAGTTGCATATGAAAATAAATTAGGAATTCAAAAGAGCGGCTTAACCAAATGATAAGGTTTATCGTTAGCATCTCTAGTAGAACAAGTTGAGTCACGAAAATAGTCTTTCTAAAAATTGGGATAAAGTTACAATCATCTTTTCTTCCTCGGATCCCACTAAAGATAACTTTGTTTTTTCGACTATTTAGTTTTCTTAAATTGCTGTAATATGCAAATGTTTGTTTCATAATTTATTTTTCTTAGCCTATTTGATTCAATACTATTTTTTTTATTCATTTGGACCCCATAAATTGATATTTAGACAATAAATATAAAATTCACAATAAAATAGGTCATACAATACAAAACAAAACTTACAAATTGGATCGGATAGCAATGGATTCAGATTGGGATTCCATAATCCTATAAGATTCAATTACCATGGTCAAAAGATCCTATTTGTAAGAGATTTTTTGCACGATTCGGATAGATTGTGTCACGGCCCAAACCTATCCCTATAGGTTTAGCGTCGTAACCGGTCAGTAATTCTTGGATTACCAAAAGTCTCTGAACAAATTATCATCTAATAAGGGCCTGCGGAAGCAAATATAAAAACATATATAGTCCATAGAGCTGTGCAGACATACATGGAACATAAATTTCAAAACTGAAACATAAACATACATAAGTGATGTCAAATTTCATTAAGTCTTGCATTACAATACAGGTAGTATCATCAGGGACTTAGCCCAACGTACAGATGAACAAAAACAAAATAATAAAACATTCTGGGCATGGTTCACAAAACTTGACTTTTCAAATGGGAAGCTCCCCGGGAGGCACAGTGGCTGGCTGACTCAAAACTCTCCAGGCAGCAGCTTAAGCCTAGTCACGCGCATGCTTAGCTACATACATAATATAAATAGTAAGCGAAAGCCCAATAAATAATAACAGAGTAAAGGGTTAAATGAATGATGTCCCATATCAGATTCAAAAAGCAGAAACAGATTCATATTCAGAGTTCAAAAACATGTACTTGTTCAGTTTCACAGAGGATCATACGTGGTACATCCATGAATGCTAACATATCATGTATAAAGCATTAAAGATCATACTTGACCAGTTCTATAAAGGAACCTCCAGTACTGGGAACTTGTAACATACTTGAGCCACGGTATTGTTACCTCCGGGCGAGAGCCATGAGATTACGGTATTATTACCTCCGGGTAACGGCCTTGTGCTCATAGACCATGGTGTTTTTACCCCCAGGCTAGGGCCTTGTGCTAAGGATGCCATGAATACTTTTCAATATATTGACAATCATTCATTGATTTAGAACATAACATGTCAGAAAATAGAGCATTTCTTGTCATATCATATCACATAAGAAATTACTTAAATGTAAATATAGTTTTACAAAATTATTACTCACAGATGGCTCCCAGGCAGACAAATTAGATAACTCGTGGCGTGTGACCTACACAAACACAGAATGAATAAGTACTGAATTACACACCCGAAATCATTAACATAGTTTTTTCTTGTCTTGGTGTGTTTCTACTTCTTATCCTCATTATTATGTCTTAACCATGACCTAGGAATGCCTAGGTTGTAATGTGGATGCCAAAATGAACTTTGAAACAATTAACAAAATTTGCTGAAAACAATGCCTTCGCTCGAGCGCAACTTTCTTCACTCAAGCGAAGGCTAAAAAATGTGAGTGGTTGCTCGAGCGCAACTTCGGTCAATCGAGCGGTCTGTAAACTCTACAAAAGTACTGGCCGTTTGATTTTTTCGCTCGACGATCGCTCGAACGTGAGACTGAGGTCTTCGCTCGAGTGCAACTCTTGTCGCTCGAGTGATCTACAAAAATTGTAAACTTCTAGGAGCATGCATTTTATGCTCGATCCAACTTTTAGTTTCTCAAGTGAGAGTGCAAAATACAAAGTGGTCACTCGAGCACAAGTTCTGTTGCTCGAGTGGAGAGGCAGAATTGTGCTCATAAACCATGGTATTTTTAACCCCAGGCTAGAGCCTTGTGCTAAGGATGCCATGAATACTTTTCAATATATGGACAATCATTCATTGATTCAGAACATAACATGTCAGAAAACAGAGCATTTCTTGTCATATCATATCATATAAGAAATTACTTAAATGTAAATATAGTTTTACAAAATTATTACTCACAGATGGCTCCCAGGCAGACAAATTAGATAACTCGCGGCGTGTGACCTACACAAACACAGAATGAATAAGTACTGAATTACACACCTTAAATCATTAACATAGTTTTTTCTTATCTTGGTGTGTTTCTACTTCTTATCCTCATTATTATGTCTTAACCATGACCTAGGAATGCCTAGGTTGCAATGTGGATACCAAAATGAACTTTGAAACAATTAAGAAAATTTGCTGAAAACAATGCCTTCGCTCGAGCGTAACTTTCTTCACTCGAGCGAAGGTTAAAAAATGTGAGTGGTTGCTCGAGCGCCACTTCGGTCAATCGAGCGGTCTGTAAACTCTACAAAAGTACTGGCAGTTTGATTTTTTCGCTCGACGATCGCTCGAACGTGAGACTGAGGTCTTCGCTCGAGTGCAACTCTTGTCGCTCGAGCAATATACAAAAATTGTAAACTTCTAGGAGTATGCATTTCATGCTCGATCCAACTTTTAGTCGCTCAAGTGAGAGTGCAAAATACAAAGTGGTCACTCGAGCACAAGTTCTGTTGCTCAAGTGGAGAGACAGAATCTGGAATTTCCAAATTACTCTTCCAAGTTCAACCCTAAATTCAAAGCTGCGAATTATGGTCTTTTGGGCCAAAACTTGAGGAAACATTTTTAAACTAATAAAACATGGTGAATTAAAAAATCATTTCACAAAATTAAGCCAAAAAGCTTTGTCAATTGTTCAAAACTCAAACTTGAAATTGTGAAATCATATCATTACATATCATGCATGTAAAGATGTAAGCTCAAAGATTTCAAAACATGATCAAATGAGGTGTTTAACTCAAAAACATGTTGAATTCTTAGAACAAGGCCAAAATAGGACATGCAAGAGGAAATTCTTTGAATTCAACTTCAAAATCATGAGAATTATGCATGCATGCATGATACACTCTTAAAACCATTTATCTAAGCTTGGTTCTTGCATTACACAACTTAGTTCTCCAGAATTCATGTTCTAAATACCAAGATTATACAATCTAAGTGTTAAATCCTTACCTCAACTTCTCAATCAAGCTCAAAAGGGTGAATTCACTTAGATTCCAAACCAAATCCTTGAATTCCAAGCTAATTCCTTCCAAATTCTAGCAATTTCCTTGTTTAATCTCAATTCTCGCCTCCTCTCTCTCTCCTCACGTTTATGTCATCAAGGATGAAGATATGAGTGTGTAAAATGTAACGAAGGGTTCACTTGTGCCTTATATAGGCTTGAATTAATTAAGTTTAATTAAACATGGTTAGGCTTAGCTAATTCCATCTACTTTATTCTAATTAATTCATTCTGAATCAAATTTCAATTAAACCTACCATAAAATTTTAAAAATCCCAAATAACACATAAATCAGGTCAATTTCATGTTCGGATGATGATAAGGCCTTCAATTCACAGAACAAACCAAAAACATGAACATATATTCTTACGATAGACAGATATAAATACAAATAATGCAACACACATGCAATTAATTCAGAATTTCATCTTATTTACTTATTAGACATCTTTAATCATGATTTAGCAGTTAATCATAGGTCGGGGTTGTTACAGATTGTCCCCAAATGGATTGTAAGATCCAGATTGAGATTCTAATAACCATGGCCGCCATCGCCGCCACCCCAACACCTCCATTACTACCACCACTAATGTAACTATTAGTTATTAGTTTCAAAACGTAACTAAATATAAAAATATTTTTCATCGAAATAAATAGAGGAACAGTGAAAATTAAGATTATGTATAACATTCAGCGTGTTTGGTTTGCGTTTTTTGAATTAAGTTTTTGAAAATTGAGTTTTTTTTTCGTATTTTTTTTTTGTTTTCAGTGTATATTTTTAAAGTTTTAAGCATTTTTTTTTAGTTTTTTAGATGTATCTTAGATGTGTCTAAAAAGTAAAATATTTATGAAAAAATATTTCAAAAAATTAATAAATACGAAAAATGTAATGAATTTTGGTTATTTTTTTGTATTTTTGGTATTCAGTGAATTTTTCAAAAAAAATCACAAAAATTGTACTTTTTAGGTGTATTTATGTTTGGTGTGTTTAAAAATTAAAAAAATTGCTTAAAATATTTTTAAAAACTCAATAAAACAAAAAAAATACAAAAAATAAGAAAATAAAATTTTCTGAAAAGTGTTTTTAAAAAATTCAACCCAAACAAAGTGATTAGTATGTATATCGTGAATGCGAGTCAGTCTGGCTTACTAGGTATATTCGATATTCACTTTGCCCGCGTTGTGGTCAGCAATTATGGCGAAAGCATCTTGAGAAAGATCGATGGTTCCACGACAGCCAGGTGGACAGTAATCGACAATGGTTACTACTACACTCTTACCGGTGCAAAGACGTGGCACACCTTGATTTGTCGAACCCGTACATGTCACTTTGTAGTTTCTTCCACACGCCGCCTTCCCTCCTATGGCATCACTTGCCACGGCTATCATCACTCCTTTGTCTTGGTACCCATAACATGCGGATGCTGAAAAAATAAAAATAAAAATAGAGAGAATATGTTAAAATTGTGTGTAAGCCCTCATTTGACAATTGGTTTTCTTAAGAGTGATACTATTAGCACGCCATGAATTATTTTGGACTCTCATTTCTTTGGACCCCCCATTTATAAATTTTGAAAACCTTAAAAATTTCTTTTCTCTCCCTAAATAATACCAAAATCATCCTTAAACATTCTACCCATTAAATGCACACCCCCCACAACTCCACATCCAAAAAAAAAAAAAAAAAAAAACTCCCTTTCAAAAAACCCTAACAAAACCTACTAAAAATAAAAAGAGTCTCATCCTTTTCAAAACCCACGAAGAAGAAGAAGAAGAAGAATACTATCTATGTTCATATAAGCTACAACATAGTAAAGGCTTTTGACTAACTACTACAAATAAAGAGAGAGACATCTGTATTTTTTGTTTTTAATCTCATTTGGGCCATCTGATATGCTAACTTGTTGATCAATTGCTCTTGTTTAACATGGTATAGCATTTTGATGTGCTCTCGTTTCTACCATAACATGTCCTCCATTTCTTCTCTCTATCTTTGTCTTGGGACTGTGGCGATGTGGGTAGCTGTGTGTGTGGTGAGAATTGTGGGAGAACCATAATGTAGCAACCCCGATTTCAGCCCTTCTTTCATGTGTTTGCCACTTCAACTGGACAGGCCGGGGATCGAGCTGCCCAGTCAGCTGGTGGGGGTCGAGGGGGCAGTGCCCCTTAGCGGGTCCGAGGGCAGCGCCCTTGAAGCAAAAATGCAAAAATGCATTCGAAGTTGCTTGTCTGCTCGACCGGCCGTTTATGCGCTCGAGTGGAGAATGTTTGGTTCCAAAAATTTGACCTATCAACAAAAGTACTGGGAAGGTGTATTCGACGCTCCAACGGGGCTTTCCATGCTCGAGCGGACCATGTTATATTAGTTCGTGAATCTGATATTTCAGATCACATTTGTATATCTCTCTCTCTAAAAACATTTCCTCTCCCTTCTCTCTACATTTCCCTATGCCAAATTGGATCAAAACCTTGATTTCTCAAGATCCATTAGAGTTCTGCCATAGGTTCTTCATCAAAGTTGGTTAACTTCTTGAGGGCTTCATTGTGTGCGGTGGAGATCGAGTTTCGACACCGTTGATTTTGGGGGTTTCATCGCATTTCTTCTTCAAAACTTGAGATAGGGATTTTCTTAGAGTTATATATATATTTTTGCAAGATCTAGATAATTTTCGAAATCGTCCTTTGATAGCTTTGAAAATTGATTGTTAATTCAAGAAGTTGAGCAATTTTGAAAGTGGGTTTGTCTCTTGTTCTTTTAAGATGATCTTATAGGTTTTGATCTTTGTTGATTGAAGAAAAGATGATTTTGGAAAGTTTTCTTTCAAAAGATTTGAGTTATATAGTTTTGGTGAGAAAACCTAGAATTTGGGGATTTTTTTTAAAGAGACTGAAAATCCATTAATGATATTGTTATATTTATTTTGTGTGTCAAAATAAATGGATGTTTCGAAAATTTCTTATTTATATTTATATGAATGATGAATTTCAGGGAATATGTGAATTGTTGTTCATTTTGGAAATTATTGTTTAAAACGTTGAAATAGTCTTGAAATGACTAATTGTTGAGGATACTTGAGAAGAGGGAATTATGTTATTCCTTAGATGATGAATTGGAATAAAAGTATTTATATTCATCTTGTGTTATTGGCATATCAATTCATTTGATTACATTAAACTTTGAAAGTTGTTTTGAAAACTTGCGTTGAGAAAAGAATGTTGAGAAACAAGTTTTCATGAATTGGTTTTGGGGTAAATACGATGGTAAGTCTTGACAGGTGGTGTAGATGAAATTGAATAGGTGTCGAGCCGTCCAGTTAATACTGATAAAAATAACAGATTATAGGTGTCGAGTCTTCCAGTTAATGCTGGTAAAATTGACAAATTGGTAGTACTTGTATAGTCTACTTGCAAACACCAACCTAGGGATTACCAGAGTCGTATTCACCGCTCTTGAAATGAATTGTTAAGTTTTGAAGAATTGAAATTGCATGACATCATTGAGCATGATGGTTTTCAAAGACGAAGATGTGATTTTCTTTCAAAAGGGCATAGCATGGCATGTGCATTTCATCTCTTGAGAGTTGTATAAAATGTATATACTTTGTTAAGCATTTCCTATTTGGCTTTATGCTCACCCTACGGGATTTTTGTGCAGGAAAAGATGTGGTGATACCGCCTAACTAGAGGCGAGGAAATATGTGTTGAGAGTACGAGACTCTCATTTTGCTGTGACTCTGTTTGTAAGCCAAGGGTTGTATGTGTGTGGGTTTGAATAACTGTTTTGTGTAACCAGGCTCAAGCCTTGGAAACTTGTAAACCCCTTGGGATTATTTATTTACTTGTTGTTGGATTAATGTATTGTTGCATGAAGAACTATTGTGTCATGTAATGTAAGTTTGGAGATTTATATTTAGTTTTCCTTGAATGAGCCATGATTGTTGTATTATCATTTGGGCTAGAAATTTGGAGCGTTACAACTTGGTATCAGAGCTACTAGGTTTGAATACTTGGAGCTCGTAGGAGGTGGTTGTTTAACCACAGTGGGTTCATTTAGCATGCTTAGGAAGTGTTATGCATTTTGTGACTATGTGATAACATGCTTATGTGACTAAATGGGTATGGGACTGGACTTTTGGGATATTGTTTGTGCCTGTTAAATTCCTTGAGGTCTCATTAGAAGGGTTCTTGATCAATACTCGTTCTACTAAGAATTCTTTGTTTTTCGTGGGACGAATTTCATCGTAAAAGAATAGTCTGTATGTGTTTACATGACTAAGTGCTTATGTGGAGTGAAATTGAATCGTGTATATGGTAAAGAAATATATGGAATCGTTGTAGTCGAATGTGTGAGTCAAGTTACGAGCACATATGAGTTAATGTGCTAAATTATTTCTCTTGTGTCCTTTATTAGGATGTCAGAAAGGGGTCAAGTCCGTGGTGGTAAAGGTGAGAGGCGTGGTAGGGCTCGCTGAGGTGTGCATGAGGTACCGGTTCATAGGGTTCCGGTGTAAGAAGAAGGGTTCGGCCAAGCTAATATGGCTGAGCAAGCAGGCCAAGCTAATGTGGCCGAGTAGGTGGGACAAGCGAGTCAAACCGCAATGGGGGCCCTAGCTCAAGAAATGGCAGGGGCTTTAAAAGAGTCTATGAACTTGTTGAAGGTGGAGAATCAAGTCCGAGAGAACACCACAGAGTCAAGGGCGAGTTTCCTTACTAGAGAGTTCTTGCGGGCCAAACCGGATGAGTTCCATGGTGGCCCCGAGCCCAAGAAAGCAGATAAATGGCTCGAACAAACTGTGAAGACATTTGAGATGCTTCACATCGAAGATAGTGAACTAAGAGTGACTCTAGCGAGTTACTACCTTAAGGGAGATGCGGGTCAATGGTGGAAATATGTCAAGGGTAGCGTGGAGCCAACATTTGAAGCCTTTGCGGTTGCTTTCCAAGATAAGTACATTCCTCCCACTGCTAGGGAGAGATTGAGGCAAGAGTTTAAAGACCTCAAACAACTTGACATGCCCGTGGTCGAGTTTAAGGCGGTCTTCTCTAGTTTGTCCAGATTTGCACCAGAATTGGTGGCAACGGAAGAGCGCTGTTGCATTGAATTTGAAAAGAAATTAAAAACAAAAATTATGTACAAGCTTGTCAGAAATATGATTTGGGAATATGACCGTCTTGTGGAGACAGCGACACACGTAGAAATTTCCATACAAGCCGAAGAGGAGAGGATTCGGAGTTCGAGGTCTACGGACCAAGAGTCTCAAGGAGACTATAGGCAGAACAAGAAGAGCAGTAACACCTATCCATCCCAGTCCCAACCACCGCAGCCTAGATCCACTTTTCCTTTGTCTAGTGCAGGTCTGGGAAAAAGTGCATCGAGTAGCTTCTCATGTTTCAAGTGTGGCCAACCGGGTCACAAAGCCTTCTCATGCCCACAAAAGGAAGGAGGAGAGTTAATAGTACCACCACCTAGCCGATCTCAAAGTCAGTCAGTCTCAGAATAAAGGTCAGGGGTTTAATTGTTGTTAGTGTGGTCAACCGAGGCATATGAAGAGAACTTGTCCACAGTCAAGAGGCGCATATGGCATATCAGGGTCAAGGCAGACTCAGAGCCACCAGCAGGCTCAATCAGTCCAAGCTTCGCAAGTAAATCAGGGAGCCGCTTCGGCTCAGTCAGTACAATAGGCCTATGCTCCGAGAGGGAGAGCAAGTCAACGAAGGGCCTGTAACAAGTCCGCGGGGGGGACCTCGCTACAGTTCGGACTCTCGATTTTGTGTCGCGGTTCTTAATCTTGAACCAAAGAGTCCAAATCTGGCAAATCGTTTTGAGAAACAGATTTTTGAAAAAGTAGTGCCAAACATGGACTGCTTTGCCAGATACAGAGTCGCCACCTAAATATTTTAAAATGGGGAAAT